TGCCCTATATGGTGATAGATCTCCAAAACCTGACAGGTGAACAAATCTAAACTTTTTTCGTCCGCGACACAGACCAAAGGGGTCCCTCTCCTCACTTTCGTCCACAACACCTCCTCGGGTAACATATTCGATCTGTTACACCATTCTGTTCCAGGACCTTGCAATTTACAAATTAAGCACTTTCTACCAGCTTACATGGCGAGCTACTGAGCAAGCTGGTAAAACCAGAAAAGCCCTCTATAGTGAGGCTAATGAGGTTAATGGTAGCATGAAAAGGAACAGAAGATGTCTGCGACATCATACTGCCCCTTAGCTTTTGTTTACGGACATATTCTAGCCAGGCGTACACCCAGCTACATATCTGTGATTTTCCAGAAATGTACACCTAGGTACGTATCCACAATGCGCCTGTGTTGAACCCTTTACTTGATGGGGGAGTTTATAAGACCTGTCATGACACCTTTATAATCACATGAGATGAATAAAGGCAATTTTATGCATGCTGAACTGTCATTCACTCAGTTATGGCATTTAAAATGCAAAGGTTTTGACAACTTGACATAACCAAATACACCATCACCTGTCTTTGCCTTAATCGTGACAGCTTGACATTAAAGGGCACATACTTTATTCCTTTTTTTAAAGATTTAAACTAAGACTTTTGTGTATCCCGAATGTGTCTGTAAAGTTTCATCTCAAAACACCCACCAGATTGTTCATTATACCTTTTTAAATTTGAGAATTTGAGCTGTTTGGACAGTGTAGCTGTTTGTGTTGCCTGTGCCTTTAATGCAAATGAGCTCATTCTCCCCGCCCACCGTTCCCACTTGCGTGTCAGTGCATGTAGCCTTCACATAGATAAACAGCACTGTGACAGACAAGAATGAAGCAGATCTTCCTTTACTACAGTAAAAACTTCCCCAACTGTTATTTTAAATATTTGTTGTGGAGTTAATTTAAGCTTTTCTGAGTCACACACAACGTTGATCTATTGTTTGCTGTTATTTACTTGTTTATTTATTTTTTTGGCTTATTTTTTTGTCTCACCTGCTTTCTGGAAACATTCTTTGCTGGATTCAACACTTGACGTCATGGTCATTTCCTCTCTGCATCACCGAATTACATGGTGAGCTAACTGAACAAACTGGTTATAGCAGGAAAGTTGTCCATACGAAAGTAAGCGGTCAGCTGGTAAGTGTGAAAAGGAACGGTCATTCCGCCCCCTAGCGTTTTTTTTAAAGATGAAATGCAGCCATACGTACTTCTAGCTGCATAATTAGCAATCTCCAGAAATGCATATACGTTTTCAGAATGAGCCTATGTTGAATGTATCTGAGATTGTCAAAAATGAACACAGCGGCCTCTAGTGGATTTGTGAAAACTGCAAAAAAAAAAAATGTAGACCTGCTATTCTGAACTGCTAATTTCTTTAAAAGAAGAAGAATCTCTAAAATGACAATTCTTTTCATTAGAAATTTGGGAGAAATATTTTAGAAATATATAGACCATTAGACCATTATGTAATTAAATGCATGTCAGCTAAAAAAATACAGTAAGAGTAGCTCATAGAGTATTACTAATGCATTTATTTTTTCAAACCATTTAGTTTGTAACAGGCTTAGGACAAAACGTGTTGGAAATTGCATACCAGAATTGAACCAGACCGAAAACAATGCCTAAACAGCTTTTTGGCTTTTGGTTATCATTAACCAATTAGCCTGTGCGGCCTCAATGACCATAGCCATTTTAACAGAAGACCATGATTTACAACTCCCTGTTATTTTTGATTATAGTGTTTTTTGCCTTTACACAATACTTAAAACCATTCAAATTATATTTACTGTATTTTTATGATAACATGCACTTCTGTTTTATTGTATTTTGTCTTTTACATTTTAAATTGGAGTTTTTATTAGTTTTATTTTATTTATTTATTCATTCATTTTTTTTATTTTTAAATTTGACTTTTTATTTTATTAAATTTTTTTTTGTATTTTTTATATTTAAACTTTTAATGCTTTATTTTATTAAATTTGACTTTTTATCATTTTTATTTATCTGTTTGTTTTATTTTTATAAAATTTAGAAATTATTTAATGTGTTTATTTTTTACATTTTACATTAAATTTGACTTTTTATTTTTTTTTTGTTAAATTATTTATAATTAATTACATGTTTAAATTGGACTTTTATTGTATAATTTTTTATTTATTTATTTACATTTAAAAACTGCATTTTATTATTTTGTATTTGACTTTTTTATTGTTTTTATTTTATTTTATTCATTTATTTATTTACATTTAAAATTTGATTATTTTATTTTATTAAATTGGACTTTTTATTATTTGTATTTCATTTATTTAGTTATTTTAACATGTTTAAATTTGACTATTTTATTTGATAGTATTTTTATTTACATTTTAAAATTTAATTTTATAATTTTTTTATTTTGAATTTTATTAATTAATTAATAAATTTTTTTATTGAAAATTTAACTATTTTATTTTACTTATTTTTTATTTTAACTAAATTTTAAATTTAAATTACTTTTTTAAATTTTAACTATTTTGTTTTATTAAATTTGACTTTTTGTTATTTGTATTTATTTATTTAATTAAATTTGATACATTTTAAAATGTAATTTAAATGTATTATTATTATTTTTTTAATTTGACATTTTATTATTTTAATTATTCATAAAAATACATGATTAAATTAGACTATTTTAAATTAAATTAAATTAAATTAAATTAAATTAAATTAAATTAAATTAAATTAAATTAAATTAAATTAAATTAAATTAAATTAAATTAAATTAAATTAAATTAAATTCCATAAGCATTGTTTTTGCCTCTTCTTTTAGACTGACTCTTCTGTGTTTACAATCAATACTTACAACCAATCCCCCCATTCATGCATTGGAAGTATGGAGTGATTTCTGACACACACAGATTTTCCCTGTGTTTTCTGCTTTGCAGTTTTAGGCTCTTAAAAAGCGTCCATTCCTCCAGACTTCCAGACTGTGCAAATCTCCTGAAGTATGTCTATCAGCAAACAGATCTGCGCTCGCTCGTGAGGAGTGTTTGATTGAGCTTTAAGCGTAGCGAAGCGTCTCTAATGTACAGAGCAGACAGACAGACAGGCAGCGGAGAGAACATGTGCTCTAGAAATGCACACGTCACACACACACACAGGCATGGTGGTCTCAGCTATCTGACTGCCGCTCTCTCACTGCTAAAAACAATATCAATGTTTCTGTCTTGTTTTCCAGAAAATATCATTCAGTCATTTTCTTTTCGACTTGGTCCCTTTATTAATCTGGGGTCGCCACAGCGGAATGAACTGCCAACTTATCCAGCACATGTTTTACACAGCAAATGCCCTTTCAGCTGCAACCTATCACTGGGAAACATCCATACACACTCATCCACACACATACACTACAGACAATTTAGGTTACCTAATTCACCTGTACTGCATGTCTTTGGACTTGTGGGGGAAACAAAAGCACCCGCTTGCCTGTCTGTTCTTCTGTCCATTAATTCATCTATCTATCTTTTGGTCTGTCTGTCTGTCTGTCTGTCTGTCTGTCTGTCTGTCTGTCTGTCTGTCTGCCTGTTTTTTGGTTTGTTTTCTTTCTATCTCTCCATCAGTTATCTGTCTGTCTAGAATGTCTGTTCTTATGTCTGTCAATCTGTCCGTCTGTTTTCCTGTCTGTCTGTCAGTCAATCTGTCTATTGTTCATCTGTCTGTTCATCCTTCTTTCTATCTTTTTGTCTGTCTGTCTGTCTGTCTGTCTGTCCGCCTGTTCCTCTGCCTGTCTGTTCATCTTTCTATTTCTCTATCTGTCTGCCATCTATTTGTCTGTCTCTCCATCTGTTTGTATCTATGTCCATCTGTCTGTCCACTTGTCCACTGTCTGTTTTTCTATCTATCTATCTTTCTATCTATCTATCTATCTATCTATCTATCTATCTATCTATCTATCTATCTATCTATCTATCTATCTATCTATCTATCTATCTATCTATCTATCTATCTGTCTGTCTGTCTGTCTGTCTGTCTGTCTGTCTGTCTGTCTGTCTGTCTGTCTGTCTGTCTGTCTGTCTGCCTGCCTGCCTGCCTGCCTGCCTGCCTGCCTGTCTGCCTGCCTGCCTGCCTGCCTGCCTGCCTGTCTCCCAATCTGTCTGTTGTTTATCAATCTGTCTGTCTGTTCATCCTTATTTCTATCTCTCTGTCTGCCTGTCTCTCCATCTGTCCGTCTGTCCTTATATCTGTCTGTCTCTCCATCTGTCAATCTCTGTCTGAAAATCTGTCCATTGTTTATCTGTCTGTCTGTCTGTTCATCCATCTTTCTATCTTTCCGTCTGTCTGTCTGTCTCTCCATCTGTCTATCCCTATGTCCGTTTGTCTGTTCGTCCATCTGTACCTCCGTCTGTTCGTCTGTCTGTCTGTCTGTCTGCCTGCCTGTCTGTCTGTCTGTCTATATATCTGTCTCTCTCCATCTGTCAATCTCTGTCTGCCTGTCTGTCCATCCTTCTATCTGTCTGTCTGTTTATTTGTCTGTCTTAATATCTGTGTGTCTGTTTATCCCTATGTCATCTGTCTGTCTGTCTGTCTGTCTGTCTGTCTGTCTTTTATCTCTCCATCTCTCTGTCTCTCTATCTGCCTGTCCATCTGTGTCTGTCTGTCTATATCTCCATTGTCTGTGTGTCTTTTTGTCCTCTATCCCTCCATCTGTCTATCACTTAATTTTTATGTCTGTCTGTCTGTCTGTTTGTCCATCTTTCTTTCCCTCCACCTGTCTGTCTGTCTAACAGTCCCTCGTTTATCTGGTCTCTCCATCTGTCCGTCTCTCTGTCTGCCTGTTTGTCTATCTCTGTCTGTCTCCCTGTCTGTCTGTTTTTCAATCTCTGCATCTGTCTGTCTGTCTGTCTGTGAGTCTAGAGCAGCAGACAGTAGCTTGTCTCTGTGTGTGTGACTGTGTTTCTGCTCCACAGCAGCAGCAGCAGGAGCTCATGATTTTGGCACCAGCCAGAAAACCGTTTTCACAAAGGCGTTCCCCAACACTGCCACTGTCTTCCTGCCGTGCCGGGACAGAAGGAAAGAAAGGGGGAAGAAGGAGGAGGAGGAGAGGAGGAGGAGAGGAAGGGGGATGCAGGAGCACACCTTACCCTCTTTACAAGACACATCCTCACAGCACACCATCAGAAACCACCCACACTGTCCAACAGCACCAGCTCCAGCTCTGCAGGTAAGGGGAAATATTTACTCTCCCTCTTTCTCTCTTTCACTCTCTGTGTGTGTGTGTGTATGTGTGTGTGTGTGTGTGTGTGTGTGTGTGTGTGTGTGTGTTCATTTTGCCGGTGTAGTGCTGGATGTTTTGGGAAAGAGCATGTGAAGCCAAGCAGACTAGACACTTGTTCCACAAACCCAAACAAACAGTGTTGAGTGCTCTGGTGATGCAAAGGGCTGGATGAATGTGACATTAAGAGACAGTAATGGTCATCCGGGAAAAGTTTCAGTTGTGTGCACTAAAAAAACTGGATTTACAGTTTTGGTGAGTGGTGAATTCAAACAAACAAATTAGGTTGAACATCACTATATTTCAAGAGTTCCCCCTTAGCTGATGATTAATTATAAAGCGGTTTTGGCATGCTGTCCAGGGAGAGAGCCCTGAGCGCATAAGATCCTCAAGCCCAGGGCTCCCTCCAGTTTGTAGGGCGAGAGGGGAGTTTGAGCTCAGGTAGGTCTTGAGAACTTCCCTGCTTATTATATGGCTTATAGCAATTAGGGTTAAGAGCTCATCAATGGTGCCAATTTGATTTGATCAATTCACCTATATCACATGTCTTTGAACTGTGGGAGGAAACCTGAGGGAAACCCATTTGAGTATGGAGAACGCGTTAACTCCGCACAGAAATGTCGACTGTCCAAGTAAGGATTGAACCAATGACATTCTTGCTGTGAGGCAACAGTGCTAACCACTGGGCCAGTGTGTCACCCTGTTAAGGAAAAGTAGGGAGGAGTGGGAGTGAAAGGGAAGTTTCTTCGAGACAAAGATGACTAACTATTTGAGGTGGCGTGGTGGCACAGTGGGTAGTGCTGTCGCCTCACAACACAAAAGTCGCTGGTTCGAGCCTCGGCTGGGTCAGTTGGCATTTCTTTGTGGAGTTTGCATGTTCTCCTCCCTGTGTTCGCGTGGGTTTCCTCTAGGTGCTCTGATTTCCCCAACAAGTTCAAACACATGCGTTATAGGTGAATTCTCTGTAGTGTATGTGTGTGAATGAAAGAGTGTATGGGTGTTTCCCAGTGATGGGTTGCAGCTGGAAGAGCATCCGCTGCGTAAAACAAATGCTGAATGAGTTGTGGCGACCCCTGATTAATAAAGGGACTAAGCCGAAAAGAAAATGAATGAATAAGTTAGGAATCATCTAATTGGTGAATCCTGCTTTGCTAATGCAGCACCAGCTGTGGTCAATCATAAGCACGTGCTTCTCTTGAAAATAGTTTATAAATAAAGTTCACTTAATTTGTTTATTTACATTCAGCCCGGGACTGTCTTAGTGGTTAGCACTGTCACAGCAAGAAGGTCGCTGGTTTGAGTCACAGCTGGGCGCTTCTGCGTGGAGTTTGCTTGTTCTCCACGTATTGGCATGGGCTTCCTCCAAGTGCTCTGATTTCCCTCACAGTCCAAAGACATGCACTATTGGTGAATTTAATGAACTAAATTGGCCGTAGTGTATGAGTGTGTGTGAATGTGAGAGTAAATGGGTGTTTCCCATTACTGGGTTGCAGCTGGAAGGGCATCCGCTTTGTGAAACATCTGCTGGAATAGTTAGCGGTCCATTCCACTGTGGCGACCCCCCCATAAAAAAGGGAATAAGCTAAAGGAAAATGAATGAATGAATTAATTAAATTATTAAAGCTTTTAGCAAGTCCAATGAATAATAATATGATAATAATAATAATAATTTTTCCGTGTGGTAGATTTTGGTTGAGCTGTGGAGAACAGTCCAGCACAAAATAATGAGTTTTTGTTTCCTGTTCAAACTACTTATTTAAAATGAGTTTAACGTTTTTTGGGGGGACAACTTAATTGTTTTATGTTCAATCCACTTAAATTTGTTAAAAAATATGATTCTAAGTTAACTTAATTTCTTTGTGTTCAGACAACATGGAGGAATTAGTTGGAATTCAGCTTTTTTTATTTTTACAGTGAGAGCAGAAAGTGTTCATTTGATGAATTATAATGCATGCTTATAAGCCTGAATCACAAACCACATTGTAAAAAAGTGTGTGTTAATAAATAGGGTTAGTTTTTTTTTGGATTTTCAGGTTTTTTCTGTGTATTTATTGTTCGTGAATCTCTTTATGGGACACTGATCTCTGCTCTGTAGACATTTGATGTTGAAAATATAACTATGCGCTTTAACAAAGTGACTTTTATTGTCATTTTAGTAGTTTGAAAGAATATATTGTATAAGAAATAATATGTCAGGAATTATGTTTGTAGAATAACAGAAACACTAAAGGCAGTTTATTACCGGATGTACCATAATTAATTACTTCAGACATAAAAATGTCAATAAAAGACCCTTTTTCAGCCTTTTTGGTCTTGAAAGAAGAATCAAGAGCCCATGATGGAATTCAAAAACATAAATAAATGAAAACTAAACAACAAAGGAAAATTTATATTTGTGGAAAAATCCCAAAATACATGGCATGCGTCAAAATGATAGATAAAAATATTTTGCACAAAATCACTAGAATATTAAGTCAAGATCATCTCCCATTAAGAAATGCTGAAAATTGACTCCATAAAAAAAGCATAAATTGTGTTGGATTAGTAATATGCATCTTTAAAGATGACTGTAAGGGTAATTTTCTCAATATTTAGATTTTTTTTGGAAACCTTAGGTTCTGGATTTTTCAAATAGTTGTATATCGTCCTAATATTATCCTGTCACAACAAAACACACATCATTGGAAATCGTATTTATTCTGCTTTAAGATGTTGTTTAAATCTCAACTTCCAAAAACTGACTTTATGAATTTATTTTGTGCTCCAGGGCCACATTTGTTACTGAAAAAGTCAATGAAATTATTTAGCTGTTATAGTTCTGTCATCATCGGCGACGCGGTGGTACAGTGGATAGCAGGTTCACCTCACAGCAAGAAGGTCGCTGGTTTGAGCCTGCGTGGTATGAGTGTATTGGGTAGGCTAAATTTTCTGTAGTGTATGTGTGTGAATGAGCGTGTATGGGTGTTTCCCAGTGATGGGTTGCGGCTGCATAAAACGTGCTGGATAAATTGGTGGTCCACTGTGGCAACCCCGGATTAATAAAGGGACTAAGTCGAAAAGACAATGAATGAATGAATCCTGTCATCTTTTGGTCACTTTTTTAAAAACTTTTTTTTGGTGTCTTTTCAATGTTTTGAGAAATTTATTTGAATATGGCCGCACGGTAGCTCAGTTAGCACTGTTGCCTCACAGCAAGAAGGTCGCTGGTTCAAGTCCCAGCTGGGTCAGTTGGTGCTTCTGTGTGGAGTTTGCATGTTTTTCTCGTGTTGGTGTTGGTTTTCTCCGGGTGCACAGTCCAAAAACATGCGCCATAGGTGAATTAGATGAACTAAATTGGCTGTAGTGTATGAGTGTGTGTGAGTGATCGTGAGAGTGTTTCCCAGTACTGGGTTGCAGCTGGAAGGGCATCAGCTGCAAAAAACATATGCCGGAATAGTTGGCGGTTCATTCCGCTGTGGTGATCCCTGATAAATAAGGGACTAAGTCGAAGGAAAATGAATGAATGAATAATTTGAATATATATGTATGGAAACAATTTAAAGACAGCTTGGAAATGATCTGGATTCACATTTTATAGATGTGTGCTTGAGTTAAATGTAGTTTTTTAGTTTGTTTAATTCCATAAACAGCTGATGTCATTTCTCACTGATGGAATTTAAAGTAATAATGTCACTTTATCATATTCAGACATTTACATTCATCATTTGTTGACGACACAATACCAGTGTATTAGGAAGAATTAAGAAATCAATATTTAATTCAATTATGATGCATTAAATGGTTTTTAAATCCAAAAAAGTCAAACGTCTATTTGAAAAGTCTCTACTAAACAAATATGTGGTTTTGGTAATGTGTCAGTTAAGAAGGAAATTAATAAGATATTAGACCATTCATATAAATAAATCAGCTCGGATGATGAATGGCTAAAGGAAACCACAAGAAATCAGTGAGCAGCTCAAGCATGGACCACATCCAAAGAAACGAAGTGAAAAAGCTGTGCATTGTAATGTGGCTAAAAAGTACTGCAGGCTACACATGATTTGTGGAGAAAAAATAGATATCCCAGAAAAAACAATTTGTCACCTTAGAATTATAAAGTTCTATCTGACATTTTTGTCAAAATTGAGTCATTGACATATTCTTATTAACTGACAACTCATTTACATTATATTTTTTTCATAAGTTGTTTACTTTTTAAAACTTTTTATAAAAAAAAACAAACAAATGTTACACACATACTGTTTGCTATATGGAATGCAAAAACTTTGAAGCTCAATATCTCAAAATCTTTTGAACGCATATAAACCCTTATGATTCCAAGGTGACGAATTGAGAATGCATAGATTTTTCTAAAACGGTTGTAATTTAATCAATAAAACATTCTTATTTTTAAAAAAAGTATGTATATCTTTTAAAACTAAGGATGTTTTTACACAAAAAGTTTCAGGTTATGTTTTAAAGTGTAAAGTTGACGTGGAAAAATCATCCCAATTCACACAAAAAATGGCTAAAAACAATGTGCAGGCCCGGATTGGCTAATCGGGAGGACCGGGAGAATTCCCGGTGGGCCGGTCTGTTTTTTGGCCGCGAGGGCCGGTTTCCCTAGCTCCAGAATCTGTTGCTCTCAGCAGTCACATTTTTAAAATGTATTTATTTATTTACTTGACCACAGGCTTTTTATTCATTATTTTACCGCAGCTCTGCTCTTTTTATCTATTTTCTCGCAGCTTCGTGAGCAAGATGCAGCCTGCAGATTCATGAGCCAGATGAGTCATAATTCTATGTATAGATTGTGGCCCAGTGGATAGCACGTTAGGTTACGACGTCGTTGATCTGGGTTCGATGTTCGTCAAAGTAATTAATTTTTTTCATATTTATTGTTAAAACATATAATACTGTTAGGGTTGTTGAAAATTTGAAGTTCTAAAGCAGCTGTTTTCTCAAAAAAA